TAAGATATTTTTTTATAAGGGCACGGCATGTTGGTCGGTGAATGTTGGTGGTTTTTCTACAAAATAATTCCCTGTTACCTCGCTCTTCACACGAAACGCAGAAGTATACTGCCTCTGCTGTATATACTGCCACTTTACATCGGTCCTCTGTGAGGAAGTGGTACTTCCCCGGACCTTCCTATTCGTGACATCAACAGCGAAGACCTGCAGCCCTTTATTGCTTTGTAAATTATTTTTCTTGCATTCTAGCGGACCGTCCGATATATTTTCGAGTGCTTCTGGTCACCCTAGCGGCAACTCGGTGCATTGGCCCTCGCGGCGATTGTAAACAAAGACGCATTACGATGCCGCGTTGCCGGCTGCGCTTTGCTAAACCCCCCGGCTGCAGTGGGCGCGCGCTCCGCATTTACACAACATATTGCGCTGGTCTAGCGTAATTCTTATAAGGATTAATGCGATTAAATGAAACTTTTTCACGGATGTAGACTAAAACTTCGCAAGAAAAGTACTAATAAAAGTCTAGAACTTTCGTATGACGCCGATTTATAACGAATATTACGACGAATACGTTTCACTCATCGAGTTGAGCTTGTTCGTTGATACGATCGTTATTTCGTACCGGGTGATGAAGTTTCAAGTGATGCATGTATGTCAAATGATATTTTATTTCATCTGCATCACCTCACTGCAAGCGCAAAGACGGCGACTCTGCAGACTGCTCGACGTCTCGCTGCACCGCTCCCTCCCCTCCCCCCCCCCTCCCACCTCTCAACATGTTCTGAAGGCGCCTCGCACATTGATATAACCAGTGCAATGATTGCGAAATACTGAATTCGGAATGCAAAGATAAAGCTTTGGTGCCGAAGAAAGGCTTTTGACAAATCTGATCGTTTCGACATAACCTCCACCGCTCACAATTAGCTGCTGAGATAATTAGCGTATAAGTAAACTTGATTTACTGTCTATTATTTACTTAGCCACGCACAAAGCGGATTTCAGCCACGTGCACCGACTGTATTGAATTAGTCATGTCGTTAATGCAATAATGAAAAAATTGTAAACACGTCATTTCTTACTTCTATTTGCTAAGTTAATCACCTATGATAAGCGATGAGGCCTGGTGTTTTATATTAACACAGTTTTATGTACCTACCACAGGCACCAGCGATCCGCAACCTAAATAGCAATTTAACATATGGCATAAGATTTTGTTTCATACTTGGTTTGTATTGAGAAATAGCCGATTATTATTTTTATTTCACGCGAACGAGTCTTGCACATTTCGCTAAAGGAATCGCTACGGTCGAAAGCTTCCTCGAGACCCGAGCTAAATGCCTCATAATTCACAGTGTAACGACACGGACACCGGCAAGGTGCGGTTCATCGTTTGGCTTCCGTCGATGATTACAGTTTCCTCCAAGTGTATTATTTTGACGGCTATTATATGACGAAAAAAGTTCGAAGCCCTTACAACGTATAGAGTTCTAAGTAATTTTGTAGAGTATAAAGCAGAGAACAGAATATGGTTTTTGTGCAAATGTATAACAAAGTTATCCCTTTTAGAGTTGAAAATGAATGAGTGCATGTATTACCTCCATATCATCGTTCCTCATCCATTCAATCGATTATTATGAAACTGGCCCAAAATAAAATGACTTTACGTTAATCGTCTAGGATAAAATCACTACATCTACTCGATGAATTGCCTGATTTGTTCCGGAATAAAGCCGAGTCTTACATAATACAAGTTCGCATCACAGAACGCGCTCTTGTATCGTAACTTTACTAAAAACATCGTTCGCTATACTAAGAGGTGGCAAACGGATCGCTCGAAAGACAATAAACCAAACCCAAAACACGCGTTTCATTATGTTTTTACCAACAAAAAAAAAGTCGTTGTTTCGAAGAACTGACCATTTATTGGTAGTGATGTTGAACGCAAACGGGGCAAAGACGACGCATTATATATGTATAGAAGATGAAAATTCTATTAAAAGACTAACTGGTATTCCTTTACGCACTACCAGGATCGCAGCGCGGTAGACTGCGCGTCGACCGCGCGCGTAATAGCCTCATCCGCCCGATCCCCCCGCTTTATTCCCTCACACGATTATCGTCGCGAACGTTACATGCTCCATTTGTCCTTAGGTCCAAAATCGGCTGCACGTTCATGTCAGTAGCAACCATGTAACTGATATAATGATAGACATCGCGGCGAATACAAACAATATTTCATTGCTATTAACCCCAATGAAGATAATAATTGTAAATGCAGTTGAAACTAATTACTGCTACTTTTTATGAGCCCGTGATAGCTCAGTGTCAGGGCGCTCGATTTAATTCAATGTACTCGAACAACCCGAGTTCAAATCCCGATGCCGGCATCAATGAAATTGTTAATTGCAATTTAACTGCTGAATTATCACATGCTTATCGGTTAAGGAAAACATCGTAAGGAAACCTGCATATTTTAGAAATAACAACAATTAAAAAAATATGTTTCGAATGTATGTAAAATCCGCCAATCCGCAATGAGATCGCGCGATGGACTATGCCCTAATACCCTTATATTGGATGACATCTTTTAGCTGTTGTTTTACTTCACTACTTTAAATGAAGCTAAAAATAGTATGAATTCAGTATCATCATTTATCTAACGGAATAACGTTAGGTTACCAAATGTTTATGTTCAACAAACAGGATAAGAGGAGTTTCTCAATTTACGGATTTTTTCATGCAGTCTCTCAGTTATCTAGCGCGTTGAACTGACGAACATCTGGTAGCAGAGTCATTGTCAGAATTTTCTCTTACTTTACATTTCTCTTAAACAAAGACAACAAAACTACGTATCAATGCCCTGACAGTGTCGACACGAACAAAGCATCGGCCGCTCTAACATTAGACACGCGACGTACACAGTTTATTTGAGGCGGGCCGACGGAAATACGAAAGTGTTACGGTGACGCACAAGTCATTGGACGGACGTTGTTAATATAGCACGCGGGTCTATTAATGTTGTAACGTTGAAGTTTGAAAGTAAAAGTTGCTAAATCTGCGTGTCTACCCGACTGATACGTTATGAGCTAATTGTTTCATACACTTTTAAACGCACGCCCCGGGAAGTACCACAATCTCACAGAAGACTGGTCTGAACTATTTTTTTAATGTCAGAAAGTGGCAAACGAGCTGGTGGTTCACCTGATGTTAAGTGAGAGCCGCCGATTATGAAAACTAATGTCAACCCGTTACGTAGGATTGCAAATGCGTTGCCGCCTTTAAGTAAACTCGCCACACGAATTGTAACACTAGGAGTGTTACAATTCTGCTTTACACCGGTCTTCTGTAAGGTTGTGGTACTTACCCGGGTGGGCCTGCCCATTCGTGCAACAGTGAACACTGGCGTGGCCCTACCACAGTCAAAGTTTTGCGTTTCGTAGAAAAGTAGAAAAAGTTTTGCGTTTCGTCTTTACTGGGGTCATGACTTTTAAAAAGTTGGCGGACCATCTGCATTCCCAAGTATTAAGACGTTCATGGGAGGCGGTTAACACTCAACATGCTATGAACTACCTGCTCGCTTGTCACCTTATAAAGTACAAAGTAGTTTATGTATAAGCTACTCGCAACTTCTTCGGCACAATGAATATGCAAAGCTGTAAGTGGCTGAGCGAAGCTAGGAAACGTCAGTTGGCCAACCACCAATGAGGATTCAGTTTTTCTAATTTCTCGATACAAAACGAACGAACGTAACAAGGTGTGTACGATGTGTCTTGTACACATCGTACAAACCTTGTCTCTTGTATCTATAATCCTGATATAAAATGTGATATTAGTTGTAAATGGTACAGCGAAATTAAAATCAAGATGAAGAATGGCAAAAATGTTCGAAATCGAAGACGAAAAAAACAAAATAAGTCCCACGTTTGTGCTTTGATATTACGTTCAACTCTAAGGAATGTTACTAGCAGTGTTATGTACCAGAAAATGACACTGTAATATGAAACTGTTAAGGTGTTAGACTTGATTGCTTCTTGGTAGTTACCGGTCCGAAGCTCAGTCTTTGAAATCAGCAAAATCACGGTCTGATGGCGTGGTTAATGAGAATAGGTAATGGTTAGTTCGATGTAGTAATTCATCATCACGTTGACAAGCCTCCAATGGCCTCTTTTGTAGAAACGACTAATGTTCCGACGCTCTTTGTGTCTAGAATACGTCCATTTTGTAAACGCTGACATCCCTTAATTTTCCCTGCGGAGAAATAAAAAATCTACCCAAAAGACGCAGGCTTGGATTCTGGCAGCGCCGAAATTTGTCGACAAATTGTCTTCGGTCCAAACAAGTGCTGCTTAATGTAAAATAGGTACAGCAGACTTTATAAATATGAACCTTTGACCGTGTCCATTACGGACGTGTAAGCATTTTGTTTTTATCATGAACTGGTTTGTTTGGGATTGCGGGAATAATAATATCCCCATATCGTGATTGGCATTGTTAAAATTGGTAAATGATCCAACTGGGTATTTTATGTCTGTGCAACAACGCTGTAACATCTACTGCTCTAGGAATGGGCTAACTCATCCGGGGAAGTAAGAACCCAGACTTAAAACGGTGGTACTGAGGCTCTCTTGAAAACAGGCAACGCAACTCAAATCCTACGGTTGATGTAGAAATCCATAGGCGACAGTGATCCCTCAAAATCAGACAACCCGCCAGCTTGGTATACAGTGGTGGTGGTATAATTAGAAACACTACCAAGGGTCGTTGACATAATGTACGATACTTCACCGCAATCATTTTCATTTTGAAAATAAACAATAAATAGGACAACAATGTGTTCAACGATTTAATTAATCATTTATTAGAAAAGCAATATAAATCCCATTACACAAGTGCAGTTTCAATATCACATTACGGACAAACATTTAAATCAGTTTTAAGGTGTTGGTGTAGTTGGTGAAAGATCCTCCACAGACGCGAGTGCTTATGGGTGGTTATATCTGCAGAATCCGGCCGCAGACGCCGTCGGAGGTGGTGGAGGGGTGCGGCGTGTGCGCCAGGGCGGGCGGCGCGGCGGGCGAGGGCGGCGTCGCCCTCGGCTCCGAGCGCGCCTTCACCTTCGACTACGCCTTCGAGCCGGCCGCCACGCAGGAGGATGTGTACGAGACGTGCGTCAGGAAGCTCGTGGAAGCGGCCCTCGACGGTTACAACGCTACCGTGCTCGCCTACGGACAGGTTGGTTATGCTCCCTCATCGCCCTACAACCAACGGTACTATATTAAATACGAAGCAGATATGAAATAAATGTTTAAATATTTAGGACACATTTTTTTTTACAACGTTCTCTAGTCCCAAAGCAAGCAACGCTTGTACTATAGGTACTAGATAACTGATAACTTAAACATATTTTCCTTTATAAATAAATACCTACATATTATACATATATTTATAAACATCCATACACTAGAAAAACACTATGTTCATCACACAATATTTTTCCAGTAGTGTGCCAGGAGGCAGGTACACTACCCACTACTGGAAAATTACTTAATTGTTCATATAATGAAATCTTCTGTATCCTACCAACTACCCTTATCCAACTTACTCGTAGATGGGGTCGACACAACATGAAAATCATGTTGTTCATGATACTGGCTATGTTTTGAATGACCGACCTACCAAACCTCATTGGGAACACAATGATAAACATCGATCTTTAATTGTTACTTTGCAATAATTACAAATCCGATAAATTACTCCTTTTAGCTTTTAAAATTATTTATCATTTATTTACCGAGCCTATTAGTGTGAGCGGAGATACGTAAAACTTCATTGTTCACCGTGACTGCTAGCTGTTCATTATCAGGTCTATTCATGTTATTGTCATGAGTTTTGCGCGAACCGTCTTCGGCCAAGTGCTCGGATTGGCGATTACAAATTGCGTTCAACTCGCTCTATTAGCCTAACTGCCGTAGCGATCGCCGTGATCGTTGCACACACGGGAGAGCGTCGCGACGACGGGGTAACACGATACGGCGACACGATGCGGGCGTTTTGTATGACGGTCAATTCAGGAGTAGGACCTATTTGCGGTTAGCGACAGAGGTGCGTTGCGAAATGAAACACGCGAACACGTAGACTTCGGCGAGCCGTCGGAATCGGTTGTCTTATAAATAAATCTTTAATCACTATATAGTATAAAAAATCGTCCCGCTGTCGGTCTGTCCATAGGGACATACATAGGTATGCTTAGATCTTTAAAACTACACAACGGATCCTGATGCGGTTTTTTTTACTAGAGTGATTCAAGAGGAAGAATTATAATACATTGCACCCCTGCGAAGCCGGGGCGGGTCGCTAGTTTTTCTATAATTAAAACATGACTATGAAGGCATTATACATAATTTGATGGAAGTTTTTTTTCTCGAACTCTGCGTGGCTAATGCTAAATGTACTATATCGTGTGTGCAAGTGCGATCGTTAGTTATCTAATTTAACAATCGGAATTGAACTGGCTCATAGGCTTAATTAACACAAACGACACTTTCTTCTTTGAATATAAATATGTTAAATAAAAAAAGGCTAATTTCATCGCAATAAAATGGTTTCTAAGATCCCGTTTTGAAAACTTTGCCTCCAATGGCCAAAGGACACATCATCTCTGTAGAAATGTTTATACAATTGTAGTTGTTTTATTATGAAGGGCGAAGAAGGCGAGAATAAAATATAGCTGCAAACTAAAATACATACATCGTCAACATTAAGTTAAAATTATTAATGTGGCCTGCAAGATAAGGTTACAATGCTGTCTGCGACCCTCGGAGGTAATTGGTCGTTCGCAGATAAAAGATATTATCCGAATGTCAAATCAGTTAATTGGTCGGGCACGTGCGTGCTCCAATTCCATGTGCCTCGAGCCTTTGTCTTCGTCATGTGTCACCTTTGACTTTTCCGCCATAGATACAACACCAGCGCCGCATGATTTGAGACTGCCAATAGACTTTACCAGAGCGCGATACAAATCCATTTTCCTGCTTTTTTTTAAATGACAAGCGAGCTGGCCGTTCATCTGTTGTTAAGTAATAACCACCGCCCATAGACATCTACAAGACACGGAGGGTTGCAGATGCGTTGCCACCTTTTAACAAAGTGGGCCCCGATTACCTCACTAGCCAGACGAAGTAGTATAACGCTTCACTTCACGCCAATCTTCTCTATGAGGTCGTGGTTCTTCTCCCAACGCAGCAGCAGACTACTGCGTGGCCTTACTAAAGTCAAAAGTGTTGGCTAACAATGTTGAAAACAGTGACAATGTTTGTATCCAAATAACTGCGAATAAGGGAGCTAGAAAAACTAAAGAAAGGATACTAGAGAGGTTAGAAAAACTTCGTCATATCAGTACCATCATTAAACACAACTGTGGTGTCGCCACGCAACAGTTTTCGCTGTGACACGAATGGGCAGGTCCGTCCGGTTCAGTACCACGACCTCACAAGAGATCGGCGTGAAGTTTTATACTTCTGCGTTTCGTCTGGTCAGTGAGTTAGCCGGGGCCCACTTTATTAAAGGGTGGCAACGCATCTGCAACCCTAAGGGTATTGCAAATGTCGATGGGCGGCGGTTATCACTTAACATCAGGCAAACCAATTGCCACATTCTCACATAAAAAAACACAATAGTATCATTTGCAATTTTAAAAAAATATGTCTTCATTAGATATGTTGTTTATGCGCGGCGTTGTTTACCAGGTGTGGCGCCTATAATTAAACAAGTCGTCCATATAAGTCGATTATGTATAGTCAAAGCGCGGAGGTCCGCGACTGTCGATGCCATCTATTCAATTATATGCTAATTCTGCAAATTAGCCCGCACGTGACGCGATTATCATGAAATTAGTCCCATAAAAGTCAAGGCTGTCGCTTGTTTGTTGACACGATTGAATAGGTCTTCATTATCCTTTCAAACGGTTAGAGCTATTGTGTCTTGTATTGCGTATTTTTGTCTCCAATAAAGTAAAAGGGGGACAAAAGGCTTTAGAAAGCGTTTTCCCTTTGACCTTAGACCGTTTAATTAGTTTTTCATTAAATTTCGTGAAAGCATTCACTAATTTAACATAATTCTTTATAACTTTATATTTCTGTCTTTATTGCATGTAAGCAGTCTCTCTCTCCGATAACAGTAAATTTATATTTCAAGAGAAAATTGAATAGATTTCAACTGATCTACTCTAGTTGCTGCTGAACATAGGCCTACCCCACAGACTGCCACGTAGCCCGATCTTTAGCCACCTGCATCCATAGACTTCCCGCAAATTTGCGCAATTCGTCACTCCGTTTAGCGGGGAGTCGTCATACACTGCGTTGGCCAATACGAGGCTGCCACACGAGAACCTGTCTTGTCCAAATTCAATCCCAAATGGTATTGTGATCATGAAAACGTTTGTGACAATACTATATGTGCAATTGGCCATGGTTATGAGTAACGCTTAGTATGTTGCCAACTTGCAGCGGATTGCGCGCCGTCACAAAAAGCCGTCACTGGCACTACGGCTATGACGTGCCGGGAGTTCGTTGACCCCGCGCTCTTGACCGGCTGACTGTAGGAATCTGATCTAGTTTTTAATGCCCGGCTTTTATATGCGTATGTTAGCCCCGTAATAGCTCAGTGTCCGGTCGGTCGGTCGCATTTAGTTCAATATACTCTAGCAATCCGTGTTCAAATCCCAATCGTTTACTTTAAGTGCTTACTTTGACTGCGGTGAAAGCCGCAAATATCCGTAATAAAATTTTTTTTTCAAAAAAGATATGTGAAGTCTGCCAATCCGCAGTGAGGTGGCTTTTGCCCAACTGTGGGACATATACATGCTGTTACTTTTTTACGCTAGCCTAATTGCAGTGGTTTTGTTATACGCACTTGATGCGGACTACAGGGGTTCGAACTCTTTCGCAATCCACTTTAAACTGCTATTGTCGAGTAATACTCACCCTAAACGTTATGCCCTTCAGACGGTTACATTATCATATTCTACATTCACACAATCACAAGACAATGGCAACTTGTGACTAACTTCATTACGACAGTGTATAATGTTATCCTACATTAAGAGCAACGATAAAAGGAAAACAATGTTACCATATTATTCAATTGTCAATCAACACAGGGATGGTTTTAACTGGTTTCGATTTTAATAATCTCAGATTTTAATACTCTATATATATATATATACAGCGTGTCGTTACCATCGCGACAATAAATGAACACACGTCTAACGCTACTTGATATATATACTTGAAAAAAATATTAACGTTAAACAAAATCCATAATTAAAAAATAATATTTTTCAAACAAACTATTTAAGTAAAAAAGAAACAAAATTTGTAACATCCTATACAACTCGCGCCACAACGTCGTATTACAAGCCTCTCCTTCTAACAGTATGTTTTGTCTCTTTTAAATTCATTCAACCCGTTCATATGCTTTGTGACCTTTACAAATGAACTTTACGTTACGCTTTTATAGGTAAGGGTGTTCTTAAATTGTTGTTTTGGAAAATTTAATAACTCTATAAATATTGACGTTTAAAGAATTTAAATGTTTAATACAACTTTAAAAAGTTATCCCCTATATGTGTGTTCCTTTATTGTCGCGATGGTAACGACACGCTGTATATATAAATATATTTTATACTTTACATACTCTTATCTAAACCGAAAATGAATGGCACGATAAGAACTCTCCCTTGTTCCTGACAACGGGACAGTTTGTACTGCTTCCTACCTACTTTGATCTAGCTTGATTCGTCTTTGCCTTCGAGATCTCCGTCCATTTATAAATAACTTTAGTATGTATGCGCTTGGTAAAACTAGTAGTAGAATTAGTCACGAGTGTCTACCCCGGCTGACTTAGTGCACTTGATGTAAAACGTAATGAAAAGTTTACTAGCGCGACGGCTCGCAGCTGCATGTAGACTTGTATGAAAAGCCCACCGGCGCAGTCTAAATAAACCTCGTACGCCGGTGTCGGCTGTCAGACCGTCACGCCACAGCCGGCGTAAACAAAACTCCTTGTTTGCTTCCGTTTACTACAAAGTAGACTTTAGTTTACAATGTTTAAAGTGCCTTTTTGTTTACCTTCTTGCCGTGTAGGAATTAACAGAGCGATTGCTTAGCGCACTGTGAAGTTATGAAACGTAAAACCGGAACGTCGGCGTTCATAAGTTTCATTGAATAATTTGTTCTAGATGATCTGATTACAAAAATGTGTAGTATGAATTAGTGTTTGTAATTATAAATTGATTGTTTGCAGTTGAATAAGTGATGTAGTTTTGAAATTATTACATCATAGCAGATCATTTTATCTTGTTTATCAAAATACGCTTATTTCAACTATGGTTTAAATTTATTTCGTCGGTATTGCATTTCCCACTTACTCTGATACATATATATTATTAATAAAGTAATATACATATACGAAATAATTACTACATATCAACTCACATTCGATATTGTTGAAAATCACTAGAAAAATTAACTATTTGAAAAATTTGTCAAAAACTACAAAAAATCAGCGATCAAAGTTTGATTTTTGAATTATAACTTGACCTTTTATTACATCTGGGATAGTATCACCTCTAAGAAAATAATATTATCCCCTGGATTTGCGCTGAAGCAACCGCGGCTGACTTCTAGCGGTGCAATAAAGATTACAAGATATCGTCTCCACCATCAGACTTCCGGAGTTATAGCCTACGTCTTATTCTGATGTATAAGCTATATTATTGTAAAGATTCATTAAAATCCATTCAGTAGTATTTGCGTGAAAGAGTAAGCGTATTTAGATGATATATACATATTATACATAGACATATATAATATAGATATTATAAATAGGTGTCATATTAGTAAGGTTGAAGTACATCGATGTAACTATTCACGAGAACTGCTGCCGACAAACTGCATCACAGTTTGGCAGAGAATAATTTATCGTCAGTTGTAATATCAATTAATGTAACCGCCAAAAAGCGACTTTACAGGAGAGGCAAAAAACTAAATTACAATTCACAAAAAGAGTTGAAAGTTTTTGCGTATTTATCCTATCGAAATGCGGTTTGGAGCATTTTTATGAAAATTCTGACATCTGCTATCTGAAAGAAACCATAAGAAGCCTACTAGTATAGTTTCGCAGATGGCATGGTGGTTACGTTAACTTTTTTTTTCTTTATTTCGCGTTACGTTAAGATTTTTTGAAATAAATAGTAACAGCCATAACGTAACTCACAGCGTATACAACACAGCGTAACGTATATCGCGATTTATTTATTAATATTTAATGTATATCACACAGTTTCTAAGACAATGACATACATCGTGACTTATAGACTGTAGGAGTTACATACGTATTCCCTTAAAATAAGGTTTAGTTTAGAATAAACTTTTTATTAATTCTAGTTAAGTTTATTTTTTATGAATAAAACAATTGCTATTATACAAAATTAACTTTAATTACCATTCTTTGGTACATAAAATATTAAGTCCTTATTGAGATCATACAATCAAACAATCAATCAGTCTTCAAGAGGAACAATTAAATTATTAAGAAAGTGTTCTTTCTATTTCACATTGTATTTGTTACATATGCGGAGTTAGTAATTGACTACTATCATTTAAAGATTAAAAAACAGTTCAAAATTTACCAATATTTCGTAAAAATTAACAGAAAACATGAGTCCTGACTTTTATGGGATAAGATAGATAACAATCAGAATAACGATTAACGAAAACAGCTTTTAGCTTTGATAAAAACATAGTATAACTGAGAAGCTAACAACGACATACAAGTTGGATATTTCATAAATTATTAGAAGCAAAGTAGAAATTTTACTTTGAATTAATGTTTTTTTTTTAAAACAGTTTGATTAATAGCTTCGAAATCAAAACTTTACAAAAACCAAATCAAATCCTTAATATAACATCATTCTTATCTAATATAATCTAACGGTTTGTGGATGAAACATACTAAAACGTGACTAAAATCCTTTGCTATTAGCTTTCCCTTTCCGATTATTATGTTTTCCTTTTTTTTCTTTTTATTTTTCTTTTCCCAGCTTTTCCTTAACTCTCTTTCACCGCTTTTTCTATATTTTCTGCCTCGTTTGCATAATACTGTACGTTCAATTTTGTATCGTAATCACTTTGTGTTTTTGTTCCGCTTTGTTCTTCGGTTTCATTTTCACTTGTAAGATCATCCCCTTGTTGAATAATATCATCCAAATAGTCATCTTTTTCTATAAAAGGCAGATGTAAGTACTCAGGTTTATACTGCTCACTCATCATCGCAGAGTTTTTTAAGGTCCATATATTTTTTTTTAGAAATTGGCAATCACTGTGCATAAAGTTTTTGCAAAAGTCGGGTTTGATCACAGACTTTATTGCTATTTCCTTTTCCTATTCCTTTTTTTGTTCCCTTTGCCTTCCCTGTTACAGTTTTCATTCCTTGACTCAATGGAATATTGAAAATGTCACCGTCCTCTTTCATTGTATATTTAACTTCCATTTCATTTAAATTTGTTTTTTTAATTGTAGCGATTCTAATATCCTTCATTCTAAAGTTTGGGTTGGATGTCGTTTTAGGCGTGAAAATCTGTTCGGCAATAATCTGCCAATTCATAAAATCAGTGTGGTCCAAGGTAATTACAATATAAGGACGCGGTGTTTTTCGTGCTGCAAGCATAAAAATTGCCCATTGTGCAGGACTCCACACAATGAGTTTCCGTACCTCTCGTTCGATGACGCTATGCATAGAATCTACTGGCATATAGCTGTGTCCAGGCAAAAGATAGTTGATTTGTACCACTTGAACGTTATTTGAATATTCCAGGAAATATTTAAACACGCTCAGTATAACTTTGTTTTTATTTTGACCCCAGCAGGAATCACAATAGAAAATTACATATTTTGCTTTTGTCAATGTCGAGGAGGTATTTGTATAAGCATGTTCCTATTTCGCAACTACCCCTTTTTCCATCGCATTCTCCCCAGGTGTAACAGAATCCATTTTGAGTTTTGGACTCATACACAGTCAAATTGTAAACTGCATACTTTCTAGAGTAGTAAAGCAGCATACTCTGGCCATGTGGGGTATTAAGGACTTTCTGGAGATCAAAACTAGCTATCACAGTGGAGTTGTCCTTGCCTACTATATTCCGATGTATTTCACTTCGTTTATAACATGCCTTTTTTTCTTCTAGATGATTTTTGTATTCATACGTCTCCTTTTCATTCATAACATTCATGTTGTTTTCGTGTTTAATGCAAACTTTGCATTTATCTTTTTTTGGTATATGAAACGTTATATTGTACTGCATAAACAAATTACGGAAAAGACGTTCACTAAGACAGTCATGTGAATTGTCTTCGCAATATTTTACATAAAGACGGTAAAGATTAGTCACACTTTTAAAATCTTGAGATAAATAGAGTTTGCGTGAGTTTTGTCGGTTATAATGCGATGGTAGTACTGGCAAATCTTCTATGTATTTCTTAGCAAAATTGTTGGTATTTTCATTATATTTATTATCAGCATGACGAGTTCGCTTGTCTTTCTGTGATATACCCTCTATAGAATTAGAAAGATTGTACAACAGATATGTTTGGGAAATATCTAGAGTATTTTTAATAAATTGTTGACATACCTGTCTTCTACCCTCTCCTTCGTTAATGTAGTACTCAATGGTTTTGTCCCTTCTACTTAGAGGAGATTCAGTACGTTTTCGCTTTATTGTAATATAACAAGCACATTGCATTATCCACTCCTTTTTTCTTTGGTTGTCGAGACTCCAAAAAAAATTAAATATGGATTGACGTCTTTCCTCAGTTATTTCATAACATCTTCTTGGACACTTATTTTATTTGAACGGGTTGATTTTCATTTGTCTAGATTCTTTCTGATTCCCTGATTTTGTGTCATAACTAAAGCCCTTTTCCTTTAAAGCTCTTCTTGTTTTAGTTTTGTTTATCAATTTAGTTTTTTTGATTGGTATTTGATTTTTCTCTTCCTTACTATTAATTTTTTTTTGACCTTTTCTTTTCTCTGTTTTTCTTCTCAGATGCACATTCATTTTCAGAATCTTTAGGTGACCAACAATCAGAACTTCCGCACGAAAAGTCATCGAAATCGTCTTCTAACATAAAATCCATGTATGATTTTTGAAATTGCGACGCAATACGCTTTTTTTGTTTTCTTGTAACGAGAGATTGAAGAGACAACGTTGGAGAGGATGTGTTTACTACTACTCGTGTTTCTTGGTCACTATCATTATCGTTATTCAAACTATTAACGACTTCAGTTGATCCTTTCATAACTTTGGAACATATGACATTACTACTTTGACCTAAGTCCATATCTCTGATATCTTTCGGACCAGTAGGATATTCTGGCACTGAAAGTAATAATAATCATGAAAAATTTGTTAGAATAATGAATTGTTACAGTTCCGTGAAGTAATGTTATACATACCAAATTCGTGTACTGTATCTGTAGTAACTGTTGGCGTGTCTACGCCCATTGAACTACATTTCCATGATCCTGTGTTACTTTCTCCTAATTCCATTAGTGTGACGGCTTTTGAATCAAGACGGTTAGGTGCTGAAAATAATAATATAGAATACGAAAATAGTGTAATCCAATAAAGATGAATTTACCACCTGGCTTAACTGATTTCAAAATCCGTACCACATTCCACGTTCAGTTTTGCTGGTAGTTGTATTATCACGTCAGAAATGATGTTTGCTTTACTCATCCTTGTAGTTTGAACTTGTGGAGTTTTTTCAGTAAGAAACTGAAAAGGCTGTAACTCTTTGAGCATAATATTGAATCTGGTTGTTTCGTTAGTAACCTCGTTTTGTAATTCGTCATAAGTAATGACTTGATCGTTCTGATGCTTCCAAGGTAAGCAAATAACCGAAGAATTCGTGGCGTTGCCACTGGTTTCGTCATTGATTGTACTTTCAGGGCAGTATTCTTGGGATAAACTTACTTTCAAATTACTAATAGCATTGACATCAGGCGCAACATTAATACAAGTTTGAATAAACTGTTGCTCATTTAGCATGTTAATAGAGGAATTTTCAATGGGATTGTTAAAGCATATCAAATTTTTGGTGGCATTATTTAAAATCTCGTAATTTTCCGGCATGTATGAAATGATTGATGTATTAGTAGCAGTATCATTGGGATTACTATCAACAGTACTGTATAATGCAATGTTGCGTCGACTTGTGCTACAAACTATTTTTGAGGTGTGTCAGTGTCACTGTCTTCAACAACGTTATCACTATTACTTCCATCTATAAATTCAGTCTGCTTACTTCTGAAAATAAAAAAAAATACGAAAGTACGTATCACTAAAATGAACGTTACATTTATGTTTTTACTACCTTGCAGACACTGTATTAGTATTTATGTTAGTATATAACAGATTAGTATATTTTGAAGATAATAATTATTAGTAGGATATTGAGTACACAAGGACATGATTATAAAATCATTTCAATACTATTTTAACGTAAGTTCAAATTAACATTGTCTAATTAACGAAATTAATAGAGTGTCAACCAAATTATACAAAACATTTTCTGTTAGAATGCAAGTGTCAAAAGTTTCCGACTTCAAGATTAGAAGACAATGTAATTCACGTAACTAATACATTAAATTGTAAAATTATTGCTGTAAGCAGTAAATAATTTCAACGTGAACATAAGTTTTGAACTGTAACTTCTTAAACAAGGCTCCTATAATATCGAATTAGTACATCTCAGCGAAAATTGTTATAACATTAGCATCTGCGGTTTGATATTAAGATTTATACTATGCGGTAAAAATTTCATCATAGCATAGGTATCAAACCTAAAGTCCAGTGTTCTAACGTCATTTAAGCCGCCAAAATAAAAACTGACATCAAGATTTTACGTTTAATAATTAAATAACCCACATGCAAAGGTCTTGCCAGCGTTTTTACATAAATACATTACATAAACTTACCTTTTCAAAACGTCCCTTTGTTTCAAAAGCTGTTTTTTTCGTGATAGTAATGCACTCAACTCGTTCATCTTATCTGTATTGGAATATCACATATGTCTCCCTTGACTTTCCGGGACTAACTGCCAAGCCAAACCTTTACCTAACGACGACTGTCAAACATGAGATCGTAAACAGTCGCACGCGTTCATATTCGTTCTTGCCTTAATGCGCACACAAATGTACATATTTTGTCTTACTTTTTCCCAGGGCATATCACGTTAGAAAGAAAGAGACGGATAGCTAGTACTGAGTACATCTTAACGTAAACGTAAGGTTTACCAATATCTTAACGTGGTCTTGTAATGTAACGGCCCAATTTTATTTAACAAATTGTAAAAATTTAATGTAAGCGCCAAAACAATTTGCGTACAAAGCAAAACGTTAACGTAAATACCAGGACTATTGTATAAAATACTAGAGCATTACTGTAACGAACAATGTTATAGTTTTAAAAGAATGACTTAAAAAGCTCGTATTATTTTGCGAAATATATTTATATTTTATGCATATAGCATATATTAAATATAGCATAAAACATCGGGATATATTAATTGAGATCTTTTCTACCTTATTTAAATGAAAATGCAAAAAAAATATTAAATATTTACGAGCATACACACAATAAAGTAGCCTTTATCTTAAAAGTATTTTTTTGTGTATTTGGGGCTGTAACAGTTGTAACGGTGAGTTAATTTAACAGTCAGAAAGTTGTGTTCTAAAACAAAACAAGTAATGTAAAAGTCAATTTTCTAAAAACTTACTATATTTTGTACAATTTTTAAAAAATTGACTCTTACGTTACCGACTTTCTTTCACGTTAGGTCAATACACTAAAAAGTAATACCAAACCTGTCGTTACATTAACCCATACTTTGGTCATTCTCATAGAATGTAACATACATCACAAAAATGAGTGAAAATGACAAAAAACAGCCGGATTTTTTTTAAAGTAATCGACATTTTTTTCATCATATCGAGATTTCAAAGCCACCAATCGATAGAGCGAAAAATTTGCAGTCGAACTGTATATTTAACTCAATTTCGTCATTTTGGCGGTTACATTAATTGATATTACAACTGACGTTATGTTATTGTACTTTATTACTGGATTAAATAAATTAAAAAAAAACATACATACAAACTTTCGCGTTTATAATATTAGTAAAGATTATCCTGCGTGGTAACGACGTTTTATATACATAAATTTCACGTGGACAAACACCCCAACAATTAATTATCTTCGAGTAACACCGTACACCGTGCACTAGTCCGTAGCTCGTAACATCACTACATAGTATAAAACAAAGTCGTCCCGTTGTCTGTCTCAGTCCCTATGTATACTTAGATCTTTAAAACTGCGCAATGGATCTCGATGCGTTATTTTACCAGATAGAGTGATTCAAGAGGAAGGTTTATATGTATAATTACATTGCACCCATGCGAAGTCGGGCCGGATCACTAATATACTATAAGCCAAAATAAATAATACTGCGATCCCTTCACACGGGTCCCAACTTGCGCCGCTTTCAAACACCTCTCGCATGTCAATATGTCATAACTGTGTCATTTGCATAATTATGCCATTGCATTTTAGCCTCCAACGGTACATCGGGCTGACTTTTAATTGTATTCTCATCGATGAGTGGCCCCAATTGAAGTTTGGTCCGATGCGTGATGGAGACATTAGTCTTTTTCTTTAAATTACGCGCATCGCATAATGAATTGAAATTTTAATATCACTACGTAGTATAAAAGAAAGTCGTCCCGCTGTCTGTATGTCCCTATGTATGTTTAGACCTACGCAACTTGATGCGGTTTTTTTTTACTAGATAGAGTGTTGTTGTCGAATATTGTAGAAAGAGCCCGCTAGTGTTGACGTCTATTTCGTAGTGCTTCTATGTTTTAAATTGTCAATAAGAATTAATGTGACGAGCATGTTGACAGTAACCGCTAACACAACATAAGCTTACTTGCATCGTGATACTAACGTGTTGTGTGTCGGTAATAAACTGAATTGTAAATCTTTCTCTACACCTCACTGGGCTAAGAAATACGAATCTAAGCGCCCCGGCCTTTATCCTGATCACTGTTTAAACTATTTAACCGTAATCTAAACAAAATATAACGGCCCCCAACGAAGTCGGACCAGTTTCACTTTGATGTGTCTTGTAATAATAATTTCACTTTAACTACCATATTCCAAATGGTTAGGTTAGAAAAACATAACGGACGCCGGACTCGTGGGTGGCAATCTAACTCTTAGGAGTTTTTCATAGTTCAAATGGGAATGCATTTTGAAAATTCCTCATGTTGCAAGAAAAGTTATAGTACCTTGACCAACCAGTTTTCAATTTTATTGAATAATTTCACGTGTGCGGCGAAATAGCAAAGGCTTCGGCGCCGCTGGACAGATTCTACTCCCGTCCTAAATAAATACTAGTAAGACCTTCATTTAATTGACACCTTGAGCATCGCGTTTGTATATGGTTGTTTGATAATGCCTCTACATATTCTATGTGTGCAGACTGCACATATAAAAAACAATTTCAATGAAGGGCTTGAAGAGAGAGGAAACAAAATTTGCGATCATTTGAGCTATATCGTTAAATGCATTAATTTGCCAACACTCGTAAGCTTATATTTAATATCATGTTTCAGTAATACGCAAAAAGTAATGCGATAGCCAATTCGCAATTGCTACACCTTAGACGGTTTTGTTTTTATAAATCGCTTAGATCCCTGCTAAACTAATTGTATTCTCTAACTGGTGCAAATTAAGGGAATTTTCAAACGAGACGCTATTTTTTTTAGCGCGGGCTCAATGTTAACAACTCCTTTTCAAAGAGACCAGAAACCGCCGCGGATATATCTATTAATAAACTACTAAAGAAGTTACAAATAAGAAAAGAAGCTACTAGATTGCCCATTGAAAGGTGTTTATTTTATGTATAACTACTATAGCGTGTAAGTATATAGAGATATGCGGAAATGACTTCTGCTCTGCACTTGCAACTCTCCTGACTAAATATCTTAATGAATTTATCTTTTTTTTAATGATATATTCATTTTATACAGATAACAAGAACAGTTTCTAGCCGGCTCTTCTCTGGACAGGTCTAATTTAATGAACCGGTGGTAGTTTCTTGACGTAGATATGTTTGAAGATATTTTGACTTTAACGGAAAATATTCTTACGTTCCGAATATGTACTTTTACGAATACAAATAATGCTTTGTGCGTATACTCTCGGCAACCTTCTACTGCCCGTGGGTGGCACCCAAAACGTGCGTTACGCAAACCACCGCAAGGATAACGCCCGTTTTAGTGCCTTTTAAATTAATACAACTATCGCCTGTAGTCCAAATTGGATGATATTGCATGGAAAATAATATCTGTATATTTATTTAAATGGACTTAGCACAGGTTTTTCACCTGGCATATAGACTGAATTTAGTGGCGAGTATTAATTTTTTAATATAAAGAAACCCGTAATCCTATAGCAATTTTTATTACCTGAAAATGTATTGTTCGAATGTTTTTTAAAGCTCGAATGGTTTCCAATTTCATGATTTTCTTATGTGAGAAGTTGGCAAGCGAGTTCACCTAATGTTAAGTGATAACCGCCGCCCATGGACATTTGCAAGAACTACACGATTGCCAATCCGTTGCCACCTTTTGACAAACCATTGAGACCCGGATACCTCACTCGCTAGACGAAAA